GGTGTTTCCGAAGACGTTGTGAGTCGGTTCCGCGACTTCCACCTCCTTGTCGACTTTGAACCGACGCGAGGGCGAGTACGAGGGCGTCTACTGTCTTGACCCAGGGCTCTTTCTCACCTCATACCGTCACCAAGACGACCCTGATACGGAGCCCGATGTCCTCACCACGGAAGAGCTCTACCTCAATTTCCACAACACGCGGGACCCTCGCTTTCTGCTGCACTTGGCGATCCTCGAAGGCGATCTGGCGGCGACCACAAGCATCTTGCGCTGCCGTCCCGACCTCGCGTACCAAGAGGCCATCCAAGCTGCGATTCACCACGACCATCTCGACATCGGCACGTACCCCTTGGAGCAGCGGGTGACGCGTGTGCCAGAGCTCAACCGCAACTTTGAAGCCGAGTTCCGCGGTCGACCGTCGCGGCTTCTCGACGACTGCCTGCCCAATTGCCGCTCAACACTCTACAAGAACGACGCGTCCATTTTGGCACTGCTTTGGGCGCATCGGCAACGCGATTGGGACAGCAACGATCTCGCCCGTACAGCGCTTGAGCTCAATGCGTTTGACGCACTCGGGTTTTTGTCTGAGCATCTGCCGACGTCGGCGCTTCATGGCCTCTTTGATGCAGTGGCTCGGAAATGCCGTTAGCCTTTGGTCAAGACTCTACACGCTCGCGGACTCGCCTGCACAACCGATGCCATGGATCAGGCTGCCACCAACGGCCATTTCGACGTCGTGACCTTCTTACACGAGAAGTGAAGTGAAGGCTGTTCGACGGAGGCCATGGACTGCGCTGCCACCAACGGCCACCTCGACGTCACCACCTTCTTACATGAGAAGTGAAGGCTGCACGATAGCAGCGCTCAGTGGAGCGGCAGCCGAAGGCTACCTTGATGCCGTTCAGTTTCTCGTGGCGCACCGTGACGGGGGCGCGTCGCCTGAAATACTGGACACCGCGGCCGCCAACGGCCATCTGAACGTTGTCAAATATCAGGACGAGCTCGGGCGTTTTGCGTGCACGACTGCCGCCGTCGACAAAGCCGCAGAGAACGGGCATCTCGACGTCGTGGACTACCTCTTGACGCACCGACACGAAGGGGGGAGCCGGGACGGAGCCCCGCAAGGAGCCCTTGATCACGGTCACATTGAGATCGTCCAGCGCCTTGTCGCGGCGGGCTAGACCCCTTCCGACCACCAGTGGCGGCATCATGAGTGTGATCCGCAAGCCAAATGCCCTCGCCCCCCTGCTGCTCTACGTCGCCCAAGGTATCGCGCTGCCATCCTCGTGGGCAAACGATGCGCGAGACCATGGCAGCGCCGACGTCGCTGAGTTCTACTTCCAACACGCGCCAGAGACAAACAACGTTGCGGCCCCAAGTTTCCCGTTCCAGTACTATGGCCTGGATGAAATCCAGAGAGCGCTATGGGACGAAGACTTGGACTTGGTCTCGGAGCTCTGGACGCGTCGGCCAGAGCTGCGCCACGACTACTTGCTCGAGTTTGTCGTATGCAACATCCAGTCGCCCAAAGCCCTTACGCTCCTCCTCGATGCGGGCATCGGTCAACCTCGGACTGTCGCTGTCGAGAACATCCACCGTCGCAGCTTTGAGATGATGAAGATTCTTCTGCCGTACTGTCTGCCCCCGAACGACCCGATGGACAACCTCATATTCCTTGTCGAGTGGGTGCATAAGCGGTCCAGCTCCTATACCAAGTCATTCCTGGTGTTTCTCAAGGCCGAGATGATCGCTCAAGCGACGGCAGCCAACTGTCGCTACATTCACGCCGGCACCGAGATCGAGGCGCTCACGGAACGCTTCTGGAGCGCGGCGCGACCACGTCGTACCTTCAACCCGAGTATCAGGGCATGCAGCACCGGGCCCTCTTTAAGTCGGGCATTGCGGACTGGGGCCTCGC